CTATGCAGTAATGCAAGGGCTGCAAAAGAAAGGGACTGCAGAAGAGGGAGAGAGCTGGTGTAAGAATTTGGCATGGCCCATTCCTAACAGAGAGCTGTATGGCAAGGGAGGAGTGACTGGTTACATGGATGGCATCTCGGTTATGGCATCTAGTCACTCTGACAAGAAGTACTGACAAGGATAGAGCAGTTTGGATTTAAGGTGAACTAGGACAGTCTTGGTCTGATGTGCTGGTTAGCACATCAGGGATACGGCTAAAGTATTCCAGTTCCTCTAAACTTCATTAATTGTGGCACTTGGGGACATGCTTCAGTGGTGAAGATGGCAGTGCTGGGTTAGCAATTTGATTTTATGAACTTAGAGGTCTTTTCCAACCCTAACGATTCCATGATTCTGTTTCTTAAGGGTGTCAAAACATGCCACAACTGCTGGCATGTGCTTTACCTCAAGATCTCATGGGACTGTTAACACTTGGCCTCAAGACAATGGGAAAGGATTTAAATTCTTGGTGTCAAAATAGTATTTGTTAATAATGCTTTTAGAAGTACCTGAGTTTGATACTTCTATGTGCTTTTAGTAATTTAATTGCTGTGTTAGTTTCTTAGTAGTGTATTCAGTGAAGAGACATTGTACTTCCAAGCCTTCAGGAATCTAAGGAGAAGGGACCTGGACCTGGGAAGCAGTTACAAACAACTTTTACCAAGTATGTCCTGCGCGTTACTGTGGCTGTAACTGTCCCCTGGCTGTTACTGTGCACTGACCATCCTCTTGGCTGTGCTTCCATCAACTTTTCTGACAAAATCCCATTCACAACAAGCACAATTCCTAATATGAAGACTAAGGAGCACAGCCATGAATAAAAAGGTTTAGCCAGCAAACAGTTCACTATGCTAGGGAAGATGTGAGGGGATCCAACATGATCCTCCCTATGCCAGTCTTCCCTGCTGATGCTGACTGCAGACTGCAGTTTCACCCACAGAGGTATCAGTGGAGCCGTGTGTGTTTGACATTCCCCGCTTTTAGCGGGTCCATGCTGAGCTGCAGGAACAGGCACCACGTGTGGTTTGGATGGAGTCTGATGCTGGCAAAGCTGGAAGCTATGACATGGCCAGTATTTCAGTTCTGGCTCAGACAGGTGCCTTGGGCAGGATGGAAGGCCAGTGGCTGAGCATAAACCTTGGACAGGACAAACCAAATCAGCTACAATCCAGCAAGATTTCCATGCAGCATTTCCAGAATGACAGGAACTGAAGTGAGACTGAATTAAACAAGGACAACATGAAGGTTGTGAGGTGGCAGAGAGGGATTATTTATCCCCAGACAGTGCCCCCCACTGAGGAGTTTTGCTGCACAAGAAGCCTCTTGGCACAGCTGGCAGGAACTATCATCTTCCACTCCTGAAAGCCACCTGGGATGTCTCTACAAGGACCTCTTGAGAAGAAATCAGCTCCTTGAACAGAAGTCAGGCAAGATGGAAGGAAGCTCTGTTAGGAATCATTGAGCACCTGTTTGGCTTCAAATGGCTGCAGTACAGCTTGTGCAAACTTTGCTGCCTCATTTGTGGGGAGGGACAAGAAATGACACTTGGAGCAGACTCTGGGAAGCTGAAGAGCAACTCAGAATGCCATGTTGTGGGAATAGCTGCTCACCACACTCTCACTGGATCCCATGACTGTCAAATACGGAAAAACAAAAGGCATCACCTCCATTTTCACATCACAACTACACTTCTGGGTGCCCGCCTGCTTTAGTCACATCAAAAAATGTGTAAGAGAAGTTAAACATTTCCCTTTGCAGCCTCAGCACCAGTTAGGGTCTGTTGCAGTCTTCCAGATGTTTGTTGGTCCCAGAGCAAGGCACTGCAGACACTCCTGGTACTCAGAATTTCTCTCTTTACTATTTAGAGGTTACAATCTACAATTTAATCTCCATTTTGCTTCTGCATTTTTCCCTCAAAGTAGCTCATCTTAAACTCCAGGAGAATGCAATCCCAAGGCAGATGCAACCAAACCTCTTAGATGAAGATTGATGCAAAATCATTATTTGTCTCGTTTATTCCTTGTAATATGAGACAAATCAAATGTTTGGAGGCTTTGAATTTCTGTACACATAAAACCAACAGAGATTATGCAAAGTGTTTGCTCTTCACATTCCAGTACAGATCATGTAATCTTGTATACATCAACTACTAGTGATTACTAGCCCTTTTTTGCATTGGATCATATTTATAAATTGTGAGGATGCATTTTTGGTCAAACAGCATGTAAAAATGCTGTTAATTAACAGCATTTTAAATTAATTAATTCAGTTAATTAGTTAATTTCAGCCATAGTGATTCAGTTCTTGCTTACCTAGCATCCTTTTGTTCAATGATATTCATGTTTGCTAAATTTTTAATTTATTCTAATAGCTCTTCTGTTTCATCTTCTGATGTTAGGACATATTTAATTAGTCTGCTTTTCTAAAGACTAGTGGCAAAACATTGTATTCTGGTATCCTTTCTTTTCAATAGCGAATGTAACCTTCTACCCTGTGACTCACCTGCCATTGCTCTAGGAATTACCTTCTGTGCATTATTTAAGTGATGTACACCATGTTTTCAGTAATGTTTGCTCATTCCAATAGTATCAGCTTCAAAGTAGATTAAAACTCAGTAAGAGGCCACATAATGTAAAACAAAAAAATCTGTATCCTGAAAAAAGAAGAAAATTTTAAAACACTTTATTGGAAAGTCTTAAATTAAAACAATTGGTTTTCTTTGGGGTGATTTAGACCTACCAGCTGCTCTATGAGCTGACATTAAAGCTGACAAATTCACCCTAGTGGGTGAATAATAATAAATAATAAACTGGTCCTAAACACTTTATTGGAAAGTCTTAAATTAAAACAATTGGTTTTCTTTGGGGTGATTTAGACCTACCAGCTGCTCTATGAGCTGACATTAAAGCTGACAAACTCACCTAGAGCAGTGGACCAGAGGCACAGTGTTGTGATAGAATGCCTCTGTAGAACATTGCTTCTCCAGGAAAGTGCTCATGGAATTCACAAAGTACAGGCTTAGTCCAGCAAGGCTCATCTTCTGGCCCCCCTTGCAGTCCACGGAGAAAGGCCAGGCCCTCCAAGGCTCTTTCAGAGCAGTGAGCTTGCATCTGAAATCCCATGAGAAAAACTCCCGCACATTCCTCTGAATTGGAATTTAGAGAATATTCTGAATTGGAATTCAGGAATATTCTTATAGAATTCCTACAGAATATTCCTCCTTCCATCTTTTCAAACCTGTGTGTCTGAAATTTGGCTGACACAAACCCAGTCATAAAGTGTTCTGCAAGGTGTTGTGTCCATTCTCCCACAGCCTGATGCCATCCATGTTACTTCCACCATTTGGTCAGCCTGGAAAGGCAGGCCAGCCTTCTGCCAGAGGCAGAAGAGACTCACAGAATCATTTTAAAAAGACTTCCAAGATCACCAAGTGCAGCCATTAACCCAGCACTGCCATGTCTACCACCACTAAACCATGTCCCCAAGTGCCACATCTACACATTTTTTCAATTCCTCCAGGGATGGTGACACAACCGCCTCCCTGAGCAGGCTATTGCAGTGCTTGACAACCGTTTATCTGAAGTGTTTTTCCCCAGCATCCAATCTAAACTCACAATGGGCACACAGGTGAGGAGAAACATGGCCTTTTACTCCTCAGGGCAGGAGGTGCTGTGGCTAAGCCCATGCAGGTGAGCAGTGCTGAGCAGGCTCCCTGCCATGCCGGTGTGCAGGAGCAGCAGCCCAGGAGAGCAAGCAGAGCTCTGCACTAGGGCACTCCAGTTAATGAACTGGAAACATTATTAACTAAGCCAACATCAGCCTAATGGGAAATCTGTCTCCACATATGTTGTATGATTTTTTTAACAATTATTGAATCAACTAGGAATTGTTTAATAAACAAAGCCAACGGGAAACATTCAAATAAATGAGTGAAGAGACATGCATTTGTTTGCTGATTAATTTTGTGCATGCTCAAGTCTCTCAGGTTTTCTGTTCTGCAAAGGGCTTTTGGCTTCTTGTTGGATGACATCTTCAGCTTCTGTAGGAGGAGCTTCTGTGGCCAGCTGGCCACTAGAAGAGTGTGTCTACATCTGCCACGTTCATCTTCATGCTTCCCTTGTGACCAACCCCAGTGTTTGTTGGGGCAACTTGGATCTCACTAATAACGACCACAACATCATTTGGGCATGTATTTTCTGTTTAGAATGACTGAAGACTTTTTTTTGCATCGGAGTAGTTTCCTGAACCAGCTGTGACTGTTTTACAGGAAAAATTAAAACTGAAGGTATGAGGCAGCCTGTCATGTTCTCCTGTGAGAACTCCAGCATGAGAAAAAAACTATTTTTAAATTTTGATGTACACTCATCGATCCATTTCTACGTTTTAGTCCAAGCATGGTCAATATACCTGAATTTTATACTTCTAAGCAACAGGGTTGTTCCCATTCTTGCCCTTTATTGGGCAGTGATCCTTTCTATGTGATAGGCACTGAACATGTGAAGTGCCATGAAACCACAGTCCATGGCCTGGTTGTTTCTCTGCTATGCAGAACATGTACTCCTCACTGTTGCTTATTTTGTTAAAAGCTGCCAGCTTGGTTTGAATCCAGAGGGACTTTAGCTTTTAGAAAGAGGCTTGTACAAACTGAGACACCAGAATTAGTTTCTAGAAACAATCAATGAGTTTCTATTACTGCTAGTATACCACACTACATTTTTGCCTTTGCTTCCTTTGGAAATGAAGCATAAGTGGTTCTTAGACATTATCTTAAAGTAAACAAACAAAGAAATGTAAGAAGTGTTATGGGGATACAACAATTAAAATTCTGTAAAGCAGTTATATGGTGTAGGTAACTGCACTTGCTTTTGTGTATCCTTTTGATATACTATATCAATTTTTGAGACTTTTGCAATGTGCAATGTGGTCATCTTTACTCCATGCAAAATTCAGATGCAATGTGGTAGATTTAAAAAAAAATCAATTTTATTTAGCTTTTCTATACATTTCTGTTCAGAGGAAGAGTTCCTTATGTTGAAACAAGTCACAATTGACATTTAGACTGGTAGCTGGCATAAGCCTTAACTAAATTGTGTTGAGTAATGCTCACAGCAGGCTGCAAATATTATACAGTGACTAAAAGGAACTAAAACATCAAGTACTTAAACTATAATGAATTTCTTAAAAAACAGGGTTTATCTAAATACATAAATATATCTTTTAATCTAAGATATTAAAAAAGAGAAATTATTTTAAGACTGTTGTAAAACAGACCATTTTAATTGACAAATAACAATAAACTTACAAATTAAACACAGAGTCTGATTCTTCAAGCCTGGTAGACAAGTCATCCCTGGCCTTTAAAGAAGTTCCTTCCTGGCTGCACTTTCAGGATACCTTCTGAAAATTATTCATAACTCTGTTTTAATTTCCAATCAATTTTTTTCTTTTTACAATAGACACAAAATTAATATCAAACCCAAGCATATCCCTTTGCTTTTCCTCTGAACTTGAAATCAAAGCTTTTGCTGAAAAACAAAACTTGAAATCCCTGAAAGCAGATACTGCTGATTGCACAAACCCAGATAGAAATGAGTACTGAGGAATTAAACTTCTAGATACACTAAAGCTAAATGAGTTGATTTTTCCAAAAGGAAACCAAACAGCTTGTAAGAAGGAAGTAATTAGTAAGCAAAAGAAACCACAAAAGCAATAAAAAACATAATAAATCTATTAACTTCACACAGAATAAAATGCTAGGGAATAATTTCCACTCCAAAGTAAAAATGATTTGCCAAAATATTAACAGCAACAAATAAAAGGCAGCCTTGCATTAAACCCAGAGCTGGCACAAAGCACACTTTGGGAGAACACATACTTACTTCTATGCCATGGACTCTTCTTCAATATTGTAATTTTTTGGATAATTTGGTGAAGTGCAGCTGGCTGTGGTACTGTGGTGCCAGTCCCACCGCCCCACCTTTGCTCCCACCACGAGAAGCAACAAACAATTTCCAAAGACACAAAGTAAACCAGCCACCTGCTATCCTGCTGCCCACATAGCACTGCATGAGCTCCGTTTGAGGGGAGGAGGCATTTACTGCATTTGGGTTCTTTCCTGAGGAAAAAGGGATCCTTGATGGTCACTGGTGTGATCTTCCAGACAGTCTCAGGACATCCCCACAGGCATGGTCTTGTTCTGGATGCGTGTCCTCGACAGGACTACCAGCATTTTCTCTTTAACACTTTAGATTAAAGCTCCAAGCTGAGGCCATGAGGGAAGAGCTGCTTTGCTGGCTTCTCACTGTGTTCCCCAGGAGAGATCACTATGCCAAATTTCAGGCACTAGGACTTGTCCTCAGCACAAACATGACAGGTACTGACACATCAAACACATTCTCAGTAAGCTCAGTATTCCTTAGGCGGAACCTTTAGGGTTTCCCAACGCATTCTCTCCTGTCCCTGCACCAAGTGAGAGCTGCCCTGATGTCTTATCTATCATGGAAATTGCCCCTCTTGTCACAAAACCCAAAGAAATGACAACCAAGCACCATATGTTCAGCTTATTTACAGCTGTGAGGCAAATGTAGCTGATGTCAAGCAAGAAACGGATGGATAACACCTCACTGAGTGGTTTCTTGGTTATTTTTCTTGAGACATTTCCCTAGTCCACATTTTGAGTCTATTATCTCTGTTATCACAAACCTGTCCTGAAAGGTTAAGCTTTCACCCCAGCCAACACAAGTCAGACAACTGAGAGTGGGAAAGAGGAAGAACCTTGACAGCTTTACAGATAAGTCTATCTCCTATATATTGTGGCCAACCAGGAAGAGTGATCTGGACCTGGCTTTTGGCTCCTTTCTTGCAAGAAAGACAAAACATGTAACGTGCACACCTGTGTACACAGAGATGCACCTTATGTTATTGCAAAAAAAAGTTCACCTGTAATTTCTAAGTGGTAGTCTTGATTTGTTCCTCCTTTTAGTTTAAGATCTTAGGTCTAACTTTGCATTTGGAGTAGTAAACATTTGTATTTGGTTTTTTATTGGACACATTACCTCAACAATGGCTTATTATAACCTTGATTTCCTGAGATACTTCAGGTTTCCCTGTCACAACTTTTAGTGAGATAAAACAACTACTTGTTACGCATTCATCTTCTGCAATACAACTAAAGCAAAATAGTAATGAGTCAAATTGTAGCTACCACTGTGTTTGATAGAATGAAGATTTTTTTCTTCCCATTTATACTATGTGGAAGAAGTCTGAGACACTCAATACAAACTCATTGACCAATGTACAACTTTTAAACCCTGCATCAAGCCTATCAGTCTTGTATTTCCAGTTTAATAATAACACCATGAAGGCAGACAAACCAGAAATCCACACAGGAACTGCTGGAATCAAGCACCAGCAACCAGCACATGAGCAGATCCCCATAACAACGTGTGAATTTTCCTTTTTGATTTAGGATAACTTGGTTTAAAATGTGTTGTGCAAGTGATTTTGCCTTGTGGACCTCTGCCCTAGATGGAGAAGGAGAGCTGCTGTGTTGGTGGCTGAGATGATGTTCACTCCTTCAACAGGAGATGATAGTGCTGTGATACTCCTGCCTGGGGCCATGATTTGATCCTGTGCATCCTGTATCCTACAGTGCAGGGTCAGACTCCACAGAGCAGTAAACAACACTATTCCCCAGAACAAGAGTCCTTTGGTATGGAGGCCAAAGCGATACCAGTTCTGTAAACCAAACTGATTGCACTGGAACGATTATAAAATTATTGCATTAGAGTCTGGGTTAATTAAACTTTAACTATAGCTAAAAAAAGAGCATTTTTTACTTAGTTATTATGTAAACAGGACAGACAAACTCCTAAGAAAAACCACTTAAGCAAAAGATAAATGGACTGCTTTAAAAAGGACTTTTCCCAGTTTGCTTCCAAAGTTCTTTGACTTCTTTAATGCTTTCTTTTTTCACACACTTCCAGAAACCTTGAATGCCTTGCTGCTGTGGTACCTGTTAATAAAGTTAAAGTGTGTTTAGCATTTACACAAAGAAGAACTCCTATTTCCAGACTGTGTAAATACAATATATAAGGTGCTGCTGCTTCCGTAGTTCACATGTGTAATAACAAGTTCTTAGTGGCAGCACTCATCCCAGATTCATATGCAGTAAGGACTATCCAGTTTAAAATATATATCTTTTTCTATTCATTAACTCTACCAGTGTTTCTACAAGCACTTACAAGAGAGTTGTAGCAATCATCTGTGGTATTTACAAACAATTATGTCAGCTTGTTACCCTCAAACCTCGATGAATTCGGTTCCTCAGGACTCCAAGAAACTCGCTGTGGCTGAGGCAGTCATCTCCATCTAGATCAAAAATCTTGAAGATGGTATCCAAAACATTATCTGACAGATCCTGTCCTGTTGCCACCTTCACTGCTCTCTTGAATTCAGCTAATAAAGACATAATATTACATCAGAGGTGACTGAACTTGCAAAGAAAATGGAAAGCTTATAAATAGCAGGATTTTGTCCAATTTATTAGGGCTTGTGGGTATCCTAACAGGAGAATTTGGGATGTGTAAACTAGTAAACTATTAAGAGGACTCAGTTCATGAGTTCTTGAGCTTGCTTCTTCTTTTGTAACACTATCTTTATTAATTTTATCATAAGCTTTAGCAATGCACTGCTTCTCAAGCAACAGTACAAGTGATAATTTTTGCTACAAATAGAAGAAAATTTACATAATTTTGGCTCTTTCCTGTTCATACAAATGGTAAGTGTTTGCCTCACTATCCTCTGATAAAAAAGTTACCATTTTATATCAAGCCAGCTTCATGACAATTCATTCTACAAGAAAACTCTATTCCTCAGAGAACAGTAGGCTATGATATGCTCCACCTCGACTAACAATCTCCTCAGCAACTCTGCAGAAACACAGAGCATCAAATGGTCAATGTACTGCTTACAGCACATGGCTTTATAAACCTGCAGTTCTGGTTTTGAGAGAAGCTGGCTACCTCCTCTTAAATGATGTTGAGAACTTACTGAGGATTCGTGGCAGAAAAAGCTGCCACACCTCTCTGGAGATGTAATTTCATCTTCAGCTCTTTTTTCTTCTCTCTTTACACCACCATGTGCAGAATAGAAACACCCACTAGCCCCTCTTTTGGTCCTGTGGTGCACAGAATTTGGAGTTTTGGCTCAAGGAAGATGAGGAAGTGTGTGGGACTGCCACAAAACAGCAGCTCGTAAGAGTGGAAGGATTACTGTTTATTATAGCAAGCACAATCACAACACATGAATTGGATGCATTTTTGAAGGCATCATGGAAGTGTGAATTTCAAAAAGGAACTGGAGGTTATTGAAGTGTAGCAGTATGGTAGATTATTACAGGAAGTTGTCCAATGAAGTTATAAATGCAATATTAATGTGGTTCTGCTTTCATAAACAAGTACTGTTTATAAATAGTACTATAAATATGATTAGTTCTGAAGCTTACTAGAGGGAATAGCATTCCTGACACAGCTCTCATCTTTGTCTCTTTCAACAACTCCTGTACAAACGTAGTTGATTATTCCACAGCTGGTTTAAACAGAATTAAGTTAAAAATCCTTTTGTAAAAGTATATATTGCAACTTTAAAAAGACATAAAACATGGGATGTTTACAGTAGTTTTAATTTTGTTTTTGAAAAGATGTTAACTGCTTCATCTCTTGAAGCTGAATTTAAATCCAGACATGGCACTATTGTTTCTTTGAATGTAACATGAATAAAGGAAGATCTTCTACAACAGTGGGGCATAACAATCTTCAAGCAAAGAAAGGCCACCTTACCAGAGAGAAAAGATGAGTTGTGAACTTAGAAGAAAAAGAAATCTAGAATAAAAGGAAGGACTAAAAGACAGTCTTATATTTATATAAATGTTCATATGTATGTGAATACACACATGTACACACATGCAAACACCAAGACAAAGAACTCCGCCAGATTCAGGAGAGAATTAGACATACAGGCATGCAGCATCTGTGAGTTACCTCAGCAGCTGGCTGATTTTGATTACAGTGGGGTTCAGCGCATAAACAGACTAGTAATGAAAGTCACAAGTTGCAAATCCCCCAGTTTTCTTTGGTTCAAATCCCATCCAAACATTTATCTTTCAAGAATATGTATTTCTCTTTCCATCTTCTCACATCTCTCATCTTTTTTTCACATGAGCCCATCAAATATTAATTTTAATGAATGTTAATATCTCCTTACATTTCCTTAGGAACTTTTTAATAATGTTGCTATTTTGAAATAACTTATGAGACTTGTCCTTCAAGAGTAACAACTAAGTAACAACTTCAGGATTAAAACAAAAAGCATTTGTATGTCCATAAAACTTTTGATGCATTGCTCCTCTTTCTCTTATATGGCAAGGAAGCAACTCCCCTCCTTGAAATCTTTATTTTGAACTCCACTTTATGACATTGTTTATTTTTGATAGACATAATTGCATAACACATCCTCCTCAGCACAGGGAGGACGTGAAGTGAGTCCATAAGAGGGCCACAAAAATTATGTGATAATTTTTGCGATGGAGCACCTCTCAGTGAAGAAAGGCCAAGAGAATTGGGGTTGTTCAGCCTGGAGAAGAGATACCTCAGGGCAGACTTTATTGTGGACTTTCACTATATCAAGGGGGCTTACAAGAGAGTTTTTACCAAGGCCTGTAGTGACAGGAAAAGCAAAATGCTTTCACAGTGAAAAAGGGTACATTTAGACTGGACATAAGGAAGAAACTTACAAAATTGTGGCTATCCCATCATTGAAAGTGTTCAAGGTCTGGTTGGGTGGGGATTTGAGCAACCTAATCCAGTGACAGAGTTCCCTGCCTATGGCAGAAGGTTTGGAAAATGACCTTTAAAGGTCCCTTCCAACCCAAACCATTTTATGGTTCATTAGTCTGCTGTCATTAATCCACATATGACAGCACATTAGAACTTGGAAATGAAAACATTTTGGAAACTTTATATTACTATTTTTTAATGAAACAGAACTAAGTCCAAATACAGAGCAGTATAATTTTTTTTGGACTTCACTGTGGTACTTTGGGATAACTAATTTACATTAATTCCATAATTAAAGTTATTTTTTTGCCTTTAAAAAAACCCACATGAAAGGTGTAGAGCACTTACCCCGCTTAACAGGACGATTGGCTACAGTAAACATCTGCATGGCAATAGAAAAGTCTTCCAGGTTATTTGTAAACTTGCAAAAAGTCTTGAATTCTTCCAAACTGATGTTCTAGAGTATCACAGAATTGAAATGATATATAATGAATATACATTCAAATCCCAGTTACTCTATGTCATTAAATCTGGTGGGACTTAGTGTTTAGATGTGACTGCCTACTCATTGTTGATACTTGTATTTCTCATATATATTTGTATTTGGACAATTATCATCGCTCTTACTTGTATAAAACACAAGGGCTGCAATAATTCATTTGGCAACTGGTTACCTCACTAGATAACCACATTCAAATGAAAACCTGTGCATACAAAGGAGGAAGCAAAACAAAGTATACTTTGGGTACCAACCTCTCCTGCTTCGATTCTGTCTTTCACATTCTGCCAGTAAATTTCATTGTTTTCCTCATCAGTGAAGTACAGCAACCACGCTGCAAAGTCTTCTTTTCTCATGACGCTCAAACCCTTTGAAAACTTTATGAATTCCATTTCTTGGACTTCCGTTTGCAGATTTTCCATGAATCTAAGTGCAAACAGATATTATCCACCACTTGTTACTTCCATCCCTGTATCACCACTACTACCTTAGCTACTCAGTGCCGCAGACACCAGCTCTGAGCCACAGACACCTTCGACACTGCTGTTTAAAATGCCCCCACTGGTTTCATTCTCCCCGCGCTCGCGGATGTTTCCAGGGCTGCATTTCCACAAGGACACCAGCAGGACGCGCTCTCGGCCTGCACAGGCGGCTGCTGCCAGCTGAACTCAGGGACGCGTTGGACATCTCGGTTTTACTCGTGTTTAAAAATGCGCAGATAAGGAGATAAAAAAATCGGTAAGGCAGCAGCATAATGAATGAATGAATGAAAGAATGAAAAAGGACATGGTAACTGAAGGTCTGACACATGATTTATGAGGTTTCATATTAAAAAGAGAGGAATGACAAGATTGCAAAGTACCTAAAAAGATGAGGCCATAATAATCACAAAGGTAAAAGAGGAAACTTGAATTCATTGCTGTAGGAGAAGATGACTGAAAGTATCAGAGATTATAACTACATACAGAGCTTTGGTGAATCAGTTCTGTGCTCACTAGAGGATAAATCAGAGAGGATTACAATTGACTTGTATGGAGTTAAGAAGAGCACAGAAAAATGTTGCAGGGGTTTGGGAAGGAAAGAGAGTTGTCGGAAAAAGGAAAGAGTCAACATCAAGGTTTTTAGGCACCCATTCTTTTGGGAAAGAAAGAAAAAAGTATTACAAGAAGCAAGAAATAATCTGAAGGTACAGAGCTGTAATTGTGAGTTGTAGCTTCAAGTTTTTTCAGTTTGGTCTATATGACTAGTATTAATTTTGGAAAAGGTAACACAGACAATACAGTGTGATCCATTTGATATTTTCCACTTCAGAAATGGGGCAATCCAAAAACAAGAGGTGATTTTTAAACAAAGGCTAAAACCAGTGGTGCTTGCCAGAATCCCCTCCGTATTGCTAAAGAACCCTGCTTTATTGAGTTGCAGAAATTATTGACAGGAGGGAATGAAATACTCCTATATTAGGACAAAGCAATTAATTGGAGAAGAGGACAGCTAAGGGTCTGTGTAGCCAATACCAGCAGAGGCTCATTTGCTCATCCGTGTTTGCCTGGCCTCACTGGGTTTGAATTCTTTCCCTTGAAATTACAGCATTTGAGTCCACACAGCTATCTTTAGCTCTTTAATGAGATCACTTGGACAATTAGTAGCTTGAAGCTCTGTGAAGTCTATAAGGGGTTAGCTAAAGACTGCTCTTGAAGCATAAGTTCTCTCTTTTATTTTTCCCTCTAACAAGTAGAGCTGCACATGCAAATAAAGGGCCAACAAACACTTCACATCTCAGGACATGCAGGTAAATTAAAGCCTCATAGTGGTGAATTTAAATTTCAGGATAGGGCTGAATTAGGGTAATACAAAGGAGGGGTACAAAATGCTGTCACATTTTATATGTGCCTTTTTCTGGTCTAGTAAAGGGGATTCTACAGTATAGCCAAACACTAAGATACTCCTCCACAGTCCACCTTAAGACCTGACACACTTTCAATTCCTCCAGCTCTCCCTCTCAGAAGTGGATGAAACACCAAAGGACCAGGTAGTGCAACCAGTGTGACTGCCCCTTTGTCTTGCAGAGTGGTGAGAGTTGCCTTGCTCAGCTTGCAAAGCACTCCTCTGTTTTCAGGCCCAGCTCCTGTCTTTGTAACTCACAAGGAGACTGCTGCCTCTGGCCAGCACCACAGCCAGCATGTGCCAGGGAGACCAGCTCCATGGGCTGGCACAAGCATCCTGCTGCACCCACGGCCCCCAACAGCCTCCCCAGATCTTGGGAAGGGAGGTTGAGGTGCAGAGGGAGAGAACAGCACGGATCTGGCATGCAGAGCAGGCACAGGGTCAGCCCAGCAGAGTAGGCCCATTTGGCTGCATTTTAAGAGTGGCCATCACAGGCAAGGAGGAGATGGTATCTGGGATGTGTGGTTTGTGGTTGGCTGGAAGGCACAGCCAAGACTGTGCAGAACAATTTCTTTGACTGTAGTTTCTAACTCATGTAACGTCTGGTCTGGAGGAGGAGAAGTTGCTGAAAATGAGGTCACTCACAGAAATATGCCTAAAACTTGGATGCAGAGAAATAAGACAACATGTGTTTTATTTTCTTGAATTTTTATCTGTGAAAGGTGGACATATTCTGCAACAGACTTAAGGTCTTGAGAATCGAGCTATTTATCTTGGGGAGAAAGCTCTCAGTCATTTGCTTTACCGGTTGCTAGCCACAGGCAACGACATAGAAACAGAGTCTTCCACCTTTTCTGAATATTGCATTTCCTTAGGCAGACAAGCCTTGGTGACCTGCCCTCTAGCCACACCCAATAAAGACAGGAAAGCCGAAAGATCAATCATTCCTACATGATGAAGAAGGAGCCCACTAAGCTGTACACATCAGCCTGCTGAAAGGGGCAGCAAAGCCAGAGCAGAAAGTGAAGGGTTTGGCTGCGGCATTTTCAGTGTGTTCTTGCTTCTGCACCCTCTTCTAATTGAAGTTCATTTCAACTTGTAGGCTTGCTCCTGGCAAGCCAGAGGGGGAAGATTTCCTGCCATATCAAACCCTACTTGGAGCAGTAGCTGAAATGTGCAATTTAAAATTTATGTGATAGTTTCCCATATTACAAAAATTAAAATACTGTGAATCATCGCATCAGCATTCTAGGTCACTCTTATTCCCAGATGTGAGAGTTAAAAATCCTAATGAGGTTTTTTTTTAAGTAAAAGTTATTAAAAGTTATTAAAAATAACTTTCTGGTTAGGAAGTAAAACTTGATACATAAATGTCAAGACACCACTAGGGATACTTGCTTTTGTATCTTCTGGATCACAGTGCAATGAGTTTCAGCTGTGAAGTCCTCATATGTATCCAGATATTAGGAAAAACAAGCACAGGAATGAAATTCCTGCTCTCCCAAAGTCAGTGGGATCTTGGCTGGGGACTTTGTAGGGAGCCTGAATTCAAGTACAGGAACAGGATTCTGATTGTAGATACACTCTACAATTAAAAAATTATTACACTGGGAATACTCTTATGCTATAGTAGGTTGAAAATAAAAGAAAGCTCTAAGTTTCCAAGTAACAAGAAGGAGAGGTAAACCATAAATTTACAAGATGGGGAAAAGGTCAGGAATGAGAGCACTTTCTTTAAGACAGCCCACTTTATCCACACTCTCTAAAACACCCACGTTGAAGGCCAATGGCCAAATTTGTTATCGTGTTACAACAGCATCCAGAAACCTTATCAGGATTTATCCCTCATTTTGTAATGGGTTCTAGTATAAAAAGAGGGAGTCTCCCAAGGTTTTTGGCAACTCAGCTTTAACAGTGCTAATCCACCACAAATAGAAGTGAAAATGTATTAAAAGAGGGGAGACCTCAGGAATGCAGCTATTCCCCCTCCAAGTGGAGAAGTGCTAGCATTCTATTCTTTATGGCACACAAAGTAGATTGAAACACTAAAGGAAATGTTAGGGAAAGTTTTTTTTTCACCTCTTGACCTGAACTGTCTGTGCAGTTTCAACACTCTTAATACAGAACTGACCAGGTCCTGTCGCACTGATTTATAGGAAGGGGATCTAACAAGATAGTAGTGGATATACCACCCCAGCATTTGCATCATGCTTTGGCTCCTCTTTGGACACCAAAGTCTTTTTGAAGAATTGAGAACCCTCTCTGCACCAAAAGACTGTGGTGAACCAGCTGCAGCTTGCCTTTTTGCAATCTGACTTTCAAACCAGAATATAGAAAATCTAATAAAGGCTTGGCCAGTTAACCTTTAGAGAACATTTAGATCTATGCTTGTAAATTCAGGCTTGCAAGCATTAAGACAGTTAATCAATCTCACAATTTTCAGAACTGCACGCAAAACCCTCTTTGATTTACTGTCCTTAGCATTTCCAAACCAAAAAAAGCTCACTTTCATTTTTAAGTGTTCTGTAGAAACTAATCAAGCCACTCTTTTGCTAAGCTCACACAAAAGGAAGAAAAATATTTTTCTCAAGCTCTTTACTAAGTATTTGGGAAATATTCAGATAGAGTTATGGCAGGAATTTCATGAAGCCAGATTTTGTTGCTGTTCTCCTCTTCTTCACTGCCTGATCTTGGCTGTAACTGATGTAATATCTATGTACTATGACTCTCTCTATATGCACACACACAGATAAAAGTGTAGGAACAGAGACAAGCAATCATACCCTATTTCTGCAAAGCAATTCCAAATCCCCAGATGAAAATCACTGAAAATATATAAGCTGTCATCACAGCAAATAGCACAGCAAAGCACAGCATGCTGGCTGATGATGACACCTGAAAGAGACCCTGCATTCATGCACTGGCACACACACACCACAGCCCCCTCAAAAATGTCAGCACTAGCAGTGGGGTCCAGCCTGGATAATTCTGGCTTCTTAAATGAAAGTTTCCAAATAAAATGTATCAAAGAATTCAAAATACTGAAGGAAAGAAACAGGATAAGTAGGGAAAAGGCATGATACGGTTATACAATTTGTCACCTTCAATCTAAAGCAGAAATTAAAAAGAGCCGTAATTAAAGAATGTATCTGGTACAAAATTCTATTAACTGATGAAGCAAGAAGCAAGAAATCAGGTACGAGAATGACATAAACTGGAATGAAACGTTAACTTTCCTCACACTATTAAAAGATGACCATTGTTTAACCATACTGGGAAGTACTTTTTTTGTAAGACATCCCAGAAAATATACAACGATCAGAGTTTTTTTGAATATCCTTTCCGTACTCTCTGCCCTTTCTTTTTTTCCTTCACAGAGAATGTAAGAGATTTAAGCTTGCTTGGGGAAAGATTACAGAGAAAATCACAGCAGTCGTAAACTGTTTAGGGAGGGAAATACTGCCTCCTCTTTTATTTGGGATTAGACATACTTAAACAAGATCAGTAAGGGACTTTTTTCAGGGAAAAACAACCCCCAGTATCTGTCAGGAAGAAATATTTCCTATGCCTAGAAAACAAAATAGTTTTCTACTCAGAATAAAAGATAGTACATTTGATATAGTTGGAAATTAAAGCACAAGTTAAATTTTTTTGGTAGGAAAAGACCAAAAATTATTTCTGTATTAAAAACCAGGAGAAATTCACACAAAAGAATAAAAAAGCCTTGAATTCTGGGGACATTCTCTAAGACAGGACCTGGTATTAGAAGATGACATTATTGTTGAGGTGTAAAACTGAGTGGTGTCATCTGAAATAGAAACTTGTTCAGATCTTCTGAGAAGAAAGATGGCTTCCTGTATTAAATCTACCCTTTTTGTTACATGATTTTAGGCTTACTGCATATTCTTCTGTATTTTCCTAAAAAGGTTACAGGAGAATACTGTTCCAGCTGTATTTGACTAAGAGACCACATCTTTAGTAGTGATATACATAAACATACTCCAGAAATTTATATTTCCTAACACTTGCCAGGGAAACATTTGCTTTTGAAATTGTAAATTCTTATTGATAATTACTATAATGTCCTTATGTTAATGACAATACAACTAATAAGAACTCATCTAGCAGTCTGGACCTGAACATGTGTTCCCTGAGTCCTACCTTAAGAAGCCAGAAGATCTCTGAAAGAACCTTTACATTTGATGAAAACACTGCCTGAGGATTGTCCCTGTGTGTATCAATACCCAGGATTTCCCAAGAAGCAAGCACCAGCTGGAGACAGATGCCTGACCATTTTCCCCTCTCTATTCTCAGCATGCCTCCTGTGCTCAGGGCAGTAGGAAAAGAGGCACAAGAACTGGTTTACATCAGCCTCACACTGCCCCAAGAGATGTAGACAGTTTCCATTTTCTTTGTGCCATCTGAATGCAAAGAAAGGAGAACAGTTTGGTAAATTAACTGTCCTGGTATACTGACTGTGGCTGTCTGACATTTTTAAAATGTTTGGACTGTGGGCTAAAAGGCTTGGATAATGCCGGTGTACATGTAGATACAGATGGTTGCACACTTACAAAAGGATTTTTTAATGCCAGACAAACTGAAAAGAGGGAGCATGAGGAAAATATAAGTAGGTAATGAGATAAGAACAGTGGTCTCAGCTTTCAGAATTCCCATATAAGTACAGTGAAATTTCAGAATTGAAAGCATTCTTGTTTTTTGGGGTGAATTATTTTTATATTTTTTTGTGGTTTTTATTTCTTTCTCTTTTGGGTGTATTTTTTTTTTTTTTTTTTTTAGTTTTAAGGACTCTGAAGTACAACAGTATCTGTGTATTTAACTAATGTGACAAGTTTTAGTGTGTCCTAATCAAACATAATCACCTCTATTTTCTACTAGGTACTACACTGATCAATGGAAAAGCTTTCTAGGCAAGAACTTGGAAAATGATAAAAGCATTTACCATCATTATTTTTTGCTTTTGAGAATGATCTATGTCTCTACAGCTCATCAGTCATCTCTTGTAAAAACAATGTGGCACTTTGATCAAACAGCCAACAATAGCTTCCCGCAGAAGGTAAAGTGTTATGAGAGGCCATCAGATAGAAATCACATTTTCTCTGAACAATAGGAACCAAGAAATGATGTGCTTGATTTACTTGCAAATAAAATCATGTGAAAGGTGATATCCTCGCAGAGGTTAAAAAGACAGCGATCCTTTTATTCACCTTTCTGCGTGTTAAACAAACTCCACTGTCACGCTGCAGCTGAGATGGAGTGTCTACGCAGTGATAAAGAGGCACATTCCAGCCCTACGAAACATAACTGCCACTGTTGAAAAATTACCTGCATTAAACCTTACACTTATCCCACAAATTTTAAGAGCAAGATGTGGGAGTTTGATTTTGATTACAGGCCTCTATCTGTGTGGCAGGCAAAGGTCTTTAACCTATGCGTTCTGAATGTACAAGGTACATAGTTTCATCAATGTCATGCCTCATTGGGTCAATGTAGGATTTTATCTAAAACCTGAGGCTTTTCAGTTTACACTGTATATGCAAACACAACCTTTTACTGGTGCTCTCTGCCTTTTGTTTCATTGAGAGGATCTATGGTATTTATAGAAAAGGGAGCTGGAGACATCTTAAACTTATTTTACTCACTTAGATTCCTATTGAGCTGAGGTCTTCAAAAGGGAAAGGTTGTTTATTTGAAGACTGGTATGTACCAGAGCCACTGGAGCCAAACACTTTTTAGTCTACTGATTGCAAAAACATTCATTTTTAAGAGGGCTGCCACACATTCTCCACTTCTGAATACAAACTGAAGCAAAACACAGGATTCTATTTTATTTTTGCAGCCTGTAAATGACTGATTATTTTGGTAGAAAAGGTAATACTCATAGATAACCTTCTCTTGATGCCATGCTACAATATGTGTGTCAAGATTCAAACAGGTATCTGCACAGTCTCATTGCAAAAGTAGTTCAAATGGTAGAGGAAAAGGCACTGGGAAAGTTTCAACAGAAGCTGGAATTTGAAGCAAGTGGAGAAGTTGCCTGCAGCTTACCATGACAGCTGTAATAGGAAAGGAAGTATCTCAACTCAGAAATTATTTTTTAATTGGTTAGAAGTCACTTTTTTTGTGATTTGGTCACAAAAAATACTCATGAATCATATTGTTTTAAGGTATGCCACCACACAGCTGCCAAGAATGGGGGTCTCAACCCTCCTGGCCCGCTGCTCTGCTGCCAGGACATATCACAGTGCTCAGCTCCTGCAGACAGCAGACTCTAGGAGCTAAATGGGGAATTCAATCATGCAACAAACATCATGAACAATCTCCACTTCATTGCTTAATTTTCTGAATCAGCTCAGTGTGATGTCAGATAAATGCCTGAGTGGGGGTAAAGCACAGGGGGTAGGAACAAGACTGGCTCCTATTAGGCTTGTCTAGCTGAAAAAATACCTGAAAAACTCGGAAAAGCGAAGTTTTTCCTTTCCCTGTTTTCCAAAGAAATGTACCAGCAACACGGTATTAACACCACAGCTGTCCAGTTCTGTTTCCTATAAAACAAAAAAAACTATATGATTGTTATGCATTGCATGATCATTAATGTTCACCATTAATCAAAAATATTTATTTGAACTAGAATTTCCCACAAGATGCTTGAAATTTAATTACTGTTCCTAAAGCTATCACACAGGATCTCAGAGTTGAACAATTCTTCCACATTAACTGCTAACAGTGTATTATAAGTTCTGCTTCTAAATACTCTGTATGAAAGATAAGAACAATTTCCAACCACCATCAGTGCATTTTATTATAACATTTTATTTTTATTATTAAAATGGAGAAGGTTGTTGCAAGTTAAATCTTTAAGAAACTTTATTGTTATGTGAATAGAAGGCTTAAATAACTTAGTATCTGTAAGTAAGTTTTTAGTTAGGTATTTCTAACATGTTACAGCCATTAAAAAACATTCAAGATAGTCTAATATATGAAGCTAGGAAAATACCAACACTGATAATGCTCTATTATATTATGGTCTTACAAGGCTTCTGGGAAATTTTCAGGGTTAGTGACTTTTCTGTAAATATTTTTAAAATCTGAAGAATAAATTTCTGCAAAGAAGGGATACACACTATTTCAATTCAATCTTTAACAAGCCTAAACCCACACATAATGCTGGATTTCTGCTCTATGCTTCTTTCAGCACCAGCATACTGGCATTTCTTTGAACACAACAAAACACTAAGCAACACGAAGAGAGAATTTTTTTAAAGTCTGTAGGGATTTCAGCATACTATTCTTACGACATCTAAACAGCCCCTGTGTCTTTTATCTGGTTGAAGAGGTAAGATGAAAGACAAGAGTCTATTCATAAGATTTAATACTAATGGTTATTTAGCTTTCAGCATCATCAGTAACAAGTCCCATTAGTCCCCCATGTTTCATGCTTACTGCATACATGACACAGTTATTTTATAGTTAAAGCAGAAACATTCCTCATTTCTACTACAAGCTACAGTTCACCAAATGCCAGAGATATGAGTTATGTATGAGTGAACCTAGAAAGAAAACACTTTTCAAGCCATATGCAAACTGTACTTACTGAACTTTTATCATTTAATTGCAGGCAAAGAATATTTAAATACCCACAAGATCCATCCTTCTGAAGTTTAAACACTTCAGATTATTGTGAAGACTGATGCATAAACATTGGTATATGCTTTTTTGAAAGCCAAAAGTCAAACATTCATGTATGCTTATTTGAAATTCAAACCCAAACTATTTATATCAGAATGCAAAGTTTTCTAAAAAGAAGCAGAGAAGAATCCACATATCCCTCACTGCAGCTATATTCTAATCTGCTTTTTGTGAGTTTTGCTTACATGTTTAAAGGACATTTGAAAAATGCAAGGAATAAATTTGCTAATGTAATTTTAAAAACTGAACTCACGATTACACAAATTAATGCTTCTAATTTAATTACTCATATTATAATAAGTGCTGTATGAAAACAAACTGAAAAACAAGGTTTAAAATAACCTTTTCAAAACTAAGTCTGTAACAGCAAAAGTTTTTTTCTTCTATTAATGCTTCTCTAGTTACAAGCTAGAAGAAGGCATACAAACAATACCTACCTCATCTTATCTAAGATGACAAAGCCTATCCCAAGATTTATAACAAATATGCACCTACTTGCTGGCTACCTTCTTTATCAGTTGAAATTCCATAGTGAAACTGGCAGATGTCCAAACACTATGTTAGTGAGAGTTAAATATATTTTAAAACTACAAAACAGTACATTTCTTTAAAGCATAAAATGCAACAGGAGACCACAGAGACTACACCTTAAGGGTGAAATTTCAAAAAATTGCTTTTCCTAGAGTTAATGCTGTTAAATTAAAGTACATGTTAGTACATAATTCCTTTTTGTCCACAGAATCATTAGGAGCTTTTGCTGCTGATCTGTATAAATTAGTACTGACATGACACATCCTTGTTAGAAGATAATGAGAATTCTATTAATATTTCCAACACCTTGCCCTCGTGAGCTTGGTAAAAGAATAACTCACACTTGGAATGTCCCTCTTGGCAATAAGAATGAAATGGTAACCCAATCCCAGGCTGTAAAGCAGACCAGACTGGTAGATTTGAGTCACTATCTAAACTGAGTGAAAGTTTGTATTCTGGTTATCTGCCTGCTTCTGGCCCTGGGATCCTTCTGATCTGTGCACTTTACAGAAAGCTGAGCACAGAGTGGAAAAAGGAACCCAGTGGTCTGAGTTTCATCTTGATACAAGCACAGGATGGGGCAGAGACATATATCACAAGTGGGGAACTCAGACATGTTCCAGAATCCCAAAGACCACACAATCTGATGCCACACAAGTCTGTGAACTAATGAACATGTGTGTACATATTACAAACATAGGCTAATTTTCCTAGAGTAATGTTAACGCCTCCTACACTTTTCAAAAGTATCATGAACTGCTGAATTATGCAATTATTCCTTTTTAAGCAAGATCAGATAACACAAGTTATTTCCTTATTACATTACATAGGCTGTTAACGTAAGGGGCCTGATGCTGCAAACACTGAGTCATGGGCAAAGACCTACATAATCCTGTAGCTCTCCACTGAGCTTTTGACATTTAGGACCTGATACTGCAGCAAGTACCAACAAGCATCACTGAGAAGAAACTTATCACACAGTGAGATGGGATTTTCAGAATAATGTACCTAACTGATTTTCAAAACTCATCTGAAATGTTAATAGACTTACTGTCTCTAAATTCTTACCACCTTTCCTTGCAGAATTTGCCTGAGGCATGACTGGAAAGCATTCATCATGATTAAAATCTGCAATTCGTTTCTTGTTCTCTTGCTTGCTTCCTGAGAGATAGTATTTGCTGTGCAATGTCTTACTTCACTAGAAATTGTAAAAATATGTATTTTGGATTGAATATTTTTTTTAGTTAAGATAGAAGGAGAGTGAGTAGATGGAAGAATGGGCAGAGAAGTGAGGTTGGGCAAGGAGGACAATACCTTAGTTTCTGTCTGCTAGTGATGTCCCAAGTCTTTCCAAAGGTAAGACTAAATCTGCAAATTTTTCTGAGTCCACTTCTCTGCAATCCTCTTTGTTTTTAAGCTGCTAGCTCAGTCAATTCACCATTCCAGGCTTCTATCCCAGCCTAGCTTCACACACTGCTAAAGAGAATTCAAGCTTTCTGTCACTTTGAGAGTCTCCCAGATGCTGGAATATATCCTACAACTCAGTTCTGGTAAGAAGGTTTAAAAGATGTGTCCATTATGAAATTAATCCTAACAGTTACAGTCAGTCAAAAGAACTGTAAGCAGGCCAGCTAGAGGGACCAGGAGATACAGACCTCCAAAAGCAGTTCTTTTTGGCAAAGCCCAGACAGTCTCAAGTGGGCCCCGGAATAAAACTGTGTCTTTTATAATAAATCAACTTTCATCCTAATGTAAATCCACAGTAAAGTTTTTCATGTTTTGCAATGCATGTTCTTATTAGGTAGGATTCAAGAACACCTCAGGTCTGCTGCAGAAGGGCTGAAATGTGCACAGATGATTCTACAGAGGATATAACAGACAATATTTGAGAAGTCTGACAGAACATCTTCTAAACAATAAACAGCATCCAATAACATCCATAATTCCTATTACTGGGAGTATCAGTTATTTTCTTAATGACAACTAATGCCATGGAATCACTCTGCTGTACACTTTTGTATTTTGTATTACTTTTGTAATGAAGAACATGTAACTTCACGGACATCCTCAGGTTTCAGTGCATCACCCTCAGTTCTGCATCAATTCATAACGAGGTACAGAATAAAAATGTTTTCCAGCTGACGGGGTTAAAACTAATCTGGGAGTAGATGCTGCAGGAGATAAAACTTTAAGAATAGAAACAGGTTGAACCTTGTCTGGTTCTGAGCCAGTTGACTGTGCCAAGCAGTCTGGGAATGGCACTGCTGCACTGCAAAGCCCAAGCCTGACCCATGCCCTGCTGGCAGCTCCTACCCACAGCGGGGGATAGCTCCTCACAGGAACCCACACCCTGCCTCCCTGTTGTGGCATGCTTTAAAAATGTAACTTTGCACCAAAAAAAGATTCCGAGGACCCCCTTCAGGAGGGGTGATGTGCTATGAAGCCCACTCTTTTGATCAAGACAGACTTGGCCTCAAAGGCCGAGCACATCCATCCTCAGCGCGCGCAAACCCTCTTGCTCTCGGTGCTGAAAATGGCTCAGGTGGCCTGTCCCAGCCAGCCCCCTGTTCAAATATGTTTCCTTCTCTCTCTTGAGGTTACAATGTCATCGGATCATATGGAAAAATAAAATAATTTCCTTGTCTCTGAGGTAAAAAATGACCCAGCACTTTTTCCATAATCTAACATTTTGGTGTCAGACAGTTTGGTTCTTTAGGGGGTTTACCTATCTGGAGAACTTTCTTTAAAGTACATCACGTTGCTCCTTGATTTAAAGCATCTAAAAGCTTTTCAACAGAATTCAATGTTAAATTGCTGACACAAAACATACATATTTATGTTGGAAAAGATAGGTCAAGAAAAAATGTGCATTCCATCTGAACTGAGAGGTTACAAGATTAATGACAGACTCTTTGGGGAGGGATATTAATTTTAGTCTTGGACTAGATTCTTGTAAAATCTGATGTGTTGCACCCCTGCTACAGAGTACTGCTGCACTAGAAGAGCACAGCTCCCAGCCACCACTTTCCTTCAGTTTTAAGCAGTCTTTAGTTATACTGAGCTATGCAGACTTAGAAGCACTGAGTAGAAAACTTTAAACCAGGTAGAGATTCTAGGGAGCAGATGGGCAGGTTATAATCACTTGCACAGTTCCTGTGGTTGAGGAGATGCATCACAATTCTGCAGTGTCTGAAGGTCCAAATGTAAAACCTTGTCTTGACGAGGTAAGCAGAGAGAAATGTGTGAACGACTAAGGTCATCTACTTCCTTTAGTACCACAGGAAAAAAATAAAAAGAGAGAAGTAGACAGGCTAAAACAACTTACACTCAAATAATATTAAATTGTTCATGTGTGAGTCTAAAAGTACACTGCATATAGTTAGACAATTTCAGTTCATAAGTTTTCTGTTTAAAAGAGATGAGTATCTGTGTCCCCAACTACTACTTAAATATAAAAAAAAAAATAAAAATCCCCAATCATACTTTTCACACTTTGTCTGAAAATGTATTCACTAGGGAATCCAGAAGCATATCTTTAATCATTTGGAAATGAGATAATTCACGTATTTCACAACACCAATTGAATTTCAACAACAAATACAGAACACTCTGTATTGTCATTCCTTTTCTAACAGTAGCTAAAAGTAATCCATAAGATTATCCATTACATAAAGCATACTAATAATGAGAGGCATCGAAAGTACTTGATAACTCATTGATCTAAATTGGAGGGCCTGAGAGCAAAGCCCCTGATCTAGACAGCTGGTCTGTCCAGTAGATATTTGCCACCATTAGCATTGTTTTCATAGCCAGGACACTAAAGCACATTTCACTGTTAAAAGTATCATTTTAAGGAACTCAGGGCAGGAACACAAAAGCAACAGGTGCTGCTCACCGGGCAACACCTTTCCAAAACAAACCAAATTGTCTAGTTCATCCTTTCCTGGATTCTAGATCACTTCCAGGCAGGGAGTTTGGCTCTCCTCTTCCATGAACCATGGTCATACGTTCTGCTGGATGTTCCATATGAAAAACAGCTCTGCCAGGAAGCCAGAGGGAGCATTTCCTCTGGCCTTTGGGAAGGGTGTTTGAGCTGAAGCAGTCACTGCCTCTGTTGACTTCTACACCATTTTCTCCAGTCTGATTAGAAAGAACCAGGCTCCAGCGTTTCAAGTCTGCCTGCAGCTCTCCTTCACCGTGTGCACCTCTGCTACGAGACTGCCAGATTGCCTGCTCTGCAAAATTCAGCACGGAACTTCCCAAAAGATGGAGCCAGTTAAGGCTGGGCAGATTTTTTTTTGCTTTTATTCCAGCATCAATTATAATATTGGAAAAAGAAAAGCCCTCAATTGAAATATGTGTATCTGGATAACCAATTCCACTGTAATCCTATTCAAGGGCCAATACTAAGTGGTGAAAATTTGCATTTTAGGGGTGTAAGTCAAAGTGTCTGAAAAAGGCAGAGATACAAGCACCTCAGGAGAACAGCAAACTGATTTTTCTTTTCCTTATATAGTAACTTGTTGAGTATTAAATGGTATCACCATAAAATAAATAAATGACTGAGACCTTTGTCTACACACTGTACAGCTGCATATACCTGCTGGTTAAACAAAGCTGCAGACTACCATTTAAACTGTATTTTCCTAGGCTGGTGACATTTGCCATCTGGTATCAGAGACTGGGTTTACTTTGAAAAAACAGAAAACTCATATGCAAATTGAGAAAGTACTGTGGAAATAATGAAACATTCCAAACTCCAAAATTCTGTTGCAGTATCTCAACTTTCAAAAAGCATAGTCAACTTAAACCCCCTGTTTCTATGCTTCATCTATTTTGCTTAAAGGCAATACTATGACTTAACATAATTATAAAAAATAAAGGGTAAAAACATATTAAATGACTACACTGTATAGTCAGATTCTCTGCTTACAATGATAATCAATTTCTTTGGTGAGAAACAGGAAGAAAATAAAAATTAAGAGAAATGTGACACTTTGGATTTTGCCACGTAGAAATATAGAGACCATACTAATTTCAAGTTAGCTGTATTCCCCAAAGCAATTTAATTATTCTTTCAAACTAGAATTCCATTTATAATCTTCTACGAAACTGTATTAAATAACATTTTCTGGCTACAGTAACTTCAGATTTTTCTCAATGGAGAACTCTGAAGACAAACTTTGAAGCAAGACAAAAACAAAATAGAGACATTCCAGCTCAGATATTTAATTAGCTCACAATAAGCTTATGTGTTTATAACTAATCTGTCCAACTGTATCAAAGTTTCTCTGGAAATTTTATACTATAGCTGTGCATTCATGCAGAATAAAGATCCTTTTTCTTTCAATGTCATGGCATTTAAGTCTCAATTGAAATAGGTTTTGAGGAGCAGACAACCCTATTAATCCTAGCTATTTTAATCTGGTGATTGATGAAAAGATTCAAGAAAGGAGATGGTTGTTTGTCGATCAAACAATTTTTAACTCAACTCAGCTTTGAATATACACTGAGGGAGGAAAACTTTTGTGAATCAGAAGACAGATTATGCCTAATAAATTTTAAGGGTGCCAGCAATAGCCACTTCCACTTTTTCCTCAGGCATATGAAAAAGTAAAGAACATGAGCAACTCTTTGTAGAAATTGCTGATGCATGATTTACAAAGCAGAGCCCTCTATAAATTCCTTACTGAATGCTTCCAATATGAGCAGTGGCTGCTGCATCATGCCCCGTGTAAACTGAAAGTTTACAGCCAATAGCAACTTGCTGATTTAAGCAGCATCTTTTAGTAATAGATGGAAACAATCCAGCTGTATTCTCCCCTTCTTCAGAATCACAGAGTAATTTACATTGGAGAAGATCTCTAAGATATTGAGTCCAACCATTAACCCAGCACTGCCAAGTCCATCACTAAACCATGTCTCTATGCACCACATCCACATGTGTTTTAAACACTTTCAGGGATGGTGATTCCCACCATTTCCCTGGGCAGCCTGTTGCAGTGCTTGACCAATGTCAGTGAAATTTTTTCCTAATACCCAATCTAAACCTCCTCTGGTGCAACTTGAGGCCATTTTTGCTTGTTCCATCACTTGTTATATGGTTCATCAGCTTCTTCTGAGGTGTTTCAGTATGCTCAGGATGCTCACTCAACGTCACCCAGGTTACAGAATATCTTGTCTCTGTGCTGACTACAGAATCAAGAATAGACTCTACCTGAGGAAGGAAGGTTGCAGGTGGCTGGATTCAGGGAAAACAAAAGAGAGCAGGAATATAACCTGTCCCTTTCATTGATGAGATCTATTTACCATTTGCTAGTGGTCCACAAAATGGTGGCATTTCTTTCCCAGCCGGACGATCAAACTCTAGGATTGTTTCTTCTGGTCTGCATCTACACTGCCTCTTTCTGGAAGTGGACTTAACTAAAATAATCCTTGCCTTTGTCACCTCAGTGACAATAACCACATTTCAAACCAACTCAGAATAAGCTGGTATCACTGCAACAGCATCACTTAAGAAAGCTTAAGATATAGATTTCTGTTTGGAAAGCCTTCTATTCTCATATGGCAATATGGGGCTCTTCCTGAGATTTTCATATATAGAAGAGAGTTACTCTGAAAGAGAGGCTCACAGAAACCAACCAAGTGAATACACAGTCAGGAAACACACTGATTGCATCCATTTCACCAAAAGGCTCAGAAATGACATTTTTCTTTCCCAGTTAGAAAGCAGTTGACAAATCATGCCTTTTCATTTAATTAAAGCACTAATACTTAGGCTTATATACTTATCTAAAAACTTCAAAAAAAATAACAAAGTTCATGGGAAACACTACAATGTTTTTGTAAGGAAAATGTATCTCTATTTCATACCCGAAGTACAGTTTCGTCTCCAGCTGCTTTCAAGTCATCTTCCTTCCCAATGATTCTCTGTAGCTGTATTTGTTGAAACATGAGAAAAGAACAGGAAAATTACAAATTTGATCTTATAATAGCCTTCTTTTTCTGAACCTTGATTTAATTGCACCTTTTCTTAATTATACATCTCTGCAAAATTCTCTACTTCTGACAAAATATTTGCATACTTGAGGATATTTTGCTATTCAGACACACTTTTTCCTAGGAATGTCTTATCTGCCGTGGTTAATATAACCAAACATGAATCTGTCTCTTGCAGCCCAGTGCTTACTCTATTTTTAGAGGAGATTTCCTAGCATCAGAAGCTTAGTTTTCACTTCAGAAGATTTTGAAAGTCTGGGGTATAACATCAAGGACCATTCCAGAAATAAAAATTATCCTGATTTTCATGCTGGCCTTCTAAATAGTTTTTGCATAGTTCTGTTATAAACGTGATCTTCTGGACATGAAAAGCATACCTGTTTTGAGGTACTATACAACTAAAAATAAAGAATAATTTAATTAAATAAGAAAACATTTTTTTCAGAACTGGCATTAGGCAGAATGTAGTTTGAGTTTTCCCCTCCACTCTTGGAAAAAATTAATCTTGAATGTATTAGCTAAGAAGATTTTTAGAATTACTGAAACGACTCACATTTAAAAACATAACTTCTACTGTCCCAAATAAAGCTTTAAGGTAATATAAACAGTGCATTAATTTATGGTACCTCAAGTGTATCAGAGCTGCAAGGTTTCTTTGACTGTATTTCACTTCAGAGATGAACACTGCCACAAGAATGAGCGATTTAATAGAGCACAAAGTACACCTACCTTTCAGACATTTGCATGAATCCTCAAAAGGACAGCAGAAATGAAAGAACAAGGGACTTAATACATTTCAGGTAGAGATATGGAATTACACTGATCACTCTGGATTTGGAGACTTTAAAAGATGCTTTTAAAACTCAAGGATTTCAAAACTGCTGGTTTGCTTCTCAAGCATTTCTGAGTGATTCCGCAACCTGCTCATTAAAACCTGGAAAAAGTTCATTACCAAATTTCCACAGTCATTATTCTGGGGAGTTTTTAAATCTCTTCTTTGTTGTTATTTTTGTTTTTGTTGTTTTTCTTGTTTTTCTTTTTTGCTCTTCAGAGAAGCAGAACAGGCTTGTGAACAGTAAGAAAAACATGCTATTGATTTGTGTTGCCGAAAGTCATCCCTTGACTTTCAAATTTTGAGTAATTAACCTGTTCTGGATTTGTTTGGGTTTTTTTCATCCTCATTTGTTTAGTTTATCAGGATGCTTACTTTCTATTATTAGTTTTAAATTGCATGTCTTGATGGTGTTTACCAAAAGAAATGCTATAAAACAAGGCAATTAAACACCACTCGTTCCTCCAAATTATCTTAATTTTTGATCATTTACAAAACAAATTACTAGTACAGTAAAAGCATGATTAATGTCTTCATAGCAAAATAGCATTATAGAGCTGTGGGTAAAGCCACAACTGCTTGTCCATATTCTCACTGAGAAATCGCATTTTTTTCTTACCTCAAAAATCAATAATTTGATCACACATAAGGAATAAAACTGCAAATACTTTCCAAACAGGAGAAAAATGATATTTTTCTTTTTTGATTTTACTTCTAAAGGACTCTTAAAAAAATCTGCAGAGTAGATTGCAGTAGCAGAGGCTACTGAAGAGCACAGACACACAGCATAATTATTTCACCAAGTATTCTGAAAGACTTCACTTATTGTTTTCTTACACTGTACGTAAATTCTTAGAGTGCTTGAAACTATTTCCAGAAGTTTGTTCATTTTTTTTTTCAGCATAGTGCAGCAACTATTCATAGAGGGAGAAGAATTCTGCCCTCAAGAAATGGACTCCATGTAACATTTATTTGTATTTAATATTTATATCTGCTCACCACTCACTATAATAATGGCTAATTCAAATATAACGAGACCTATTATGCACAAGTGAAGCCTCCACTAAAGATAGCAGTAATCTGTTCTGAACAAGCCTTTCTGGCAGAAAGACTATGGCAGTCTCTAAAAAAAAAAAAAAGGGTGTTTTTGCATCTTCCAGCTGCTTGAGAGAGATCAGTGCTTGTGGATGCTCTAAGACTACACAAGAGCTCTGTGCCACAGCTGCTGAGTGTTGGGTGCTGGCTCATTCAGCCCTAGATGAAGCTCTGCAAATATTTTGTGGTATCTGCTCTCCAGCAGAAGTGTGTAAGACAGCCTACTCAGAAAGTCTAAGGCATACAGCTCTTGCATGTGCCATCAGAACTACTCTGACTTTATTCCCAAGAGTTTTGAACTGTCATTAATTTTACTTAGACATCTTTAATCAGGACAGATTGAGAGAGTTAGGGAAATTCCTTACTTGCTGGGGATTTTGGGAACTTTGGTAGCCTTATTCTTGGTGGGAGGTCTCAGATTAATGTGCATGGGTTATTATGTGTCTGGAAATCCCCATCACCAAGTCTCAAGTGAATGTCTTGGAAGTGCAGAGCTCACAAAAGTATGTTACTGTCCTCACAGAGATGCAGATAACATGGCTCTGAGAAATGATTCTGCACTCTAGCAGGGGCTGATTAAAGGGTGGCAACTAACATCTGTGAACACGCCATTTCTACCTCATCTTCTTCACCCTGGAGTTGCAGGGAAAAGCAACAAAACCCTCTTGGCCCTAATATTGAATACTGTGACTGTTTACCACTGAGATGTGGATGAAGCAGAATTACACTGGCTTCAACACAAAGAAATAGGGAGGAGAGAGAACAAGAGCATCCCTGTGAAGGGAGAGACTTTTACTGGAAATGAGGAAAACGTGCACTGAAATGGAAAGGCTACAGAGGACAAGATAAACTCCCTTGTTGAAAACATGGGATTGCATTCAAGATCTCCTTTCCTGAACATCCATTTTTGTCAGCAGAGAACACTGGGAAATTCTGCACCTCACACTCCTGAAGTGCCTGATCCATATAGGTTTGAACAGCCTATATCCCATCACATAATGCAGGCACTGAGGACTGGGGTTGGAGTTTCTGCTTGTCACTCATCTCCCTTTCCTGAATGACCTGCTTGGCACATCTTGTGCCTGCTCATCCAGGAACATACAAGAATTGAGATATACACAATTCAAAGAATGATGGATGTTTTCCAAACCAAAAAGGAAGTTCTTACCTCAAAGACTCTACAGTCTAGACCAGCAGTCAGACTCCACAGTCAGACATCACAGACATGCACAGATGTCTAGTCAGAGGATAATGGTGGGAAATGGGGAGCACAAGAGGTGACAAAGCAAGAGAATGAACCAGCAATGAAATTTCTTTTCCCACTGTACCCTGCCTACAGACACTGCCTCCTGATTACTGCTTCTTCACTATTCTTTTCCACTGCATTTTCCTTGCATACATTTCCTGATGTTATTGTCAAATATAGTGTGGAAATCACTGTAGAATAATTCAGATATATTTTGCTAGGATGTCAACTGGGACAAGACAATTGACAGATTAGCCACACAATTTACTGATTTATTAGCTATCTAGAAACTTTCTATGATGCACATGGAACTAGAATATACAGCCTACACACACACACACTTATTTCCACATTCTTACATTTCAAAAATTTTATTTTTAAATCTAATCTATAAAGTTTTGCTTGAAAATAGTCTCCTCTGTAAATATAAAGAAAACAGTCACAAGAGAAGACTCATCATCTGACTAATTTCCATCCTGTGGGACTTCTTTGAATTTAATGACTTTTGTGAGTTGACAGAATAATTTATATGGGGTTTTTTTACAACTCTGTATTATTTTATCAATACAGCCCAGAAAGGAAATGAAAGGTAACAATCTATCTAACTAAAATAATTTTCATTTAACTTGATTGCCTCTACAGAAATCAAATTATTTATACAATGTTTTCTACATTTGATGACTTTCTGTTGTTTATACTGGCTGATTCAATTAGAATACCTGAAATGGGTAATGATATTAAATATATAAAATATTGCATGTCTCCCCAAAAGAGCAGTGTAAGAATCTCCTTATTTGCTTAACTGACAGTACCTTTTTAAAGAAAGCACTGCTAATGTGGCATTTTGGTGCAGAGGCACCACCTCTGAACATGTCCACTTGTGTTCATGCAGATACTTTTGCTTGTGACGCATTGTTTTGCAGCTGAATAATACAGCCATAACAGACTTATTTTGGTAATCAGGGCACTGCTACTCTGATAACAATTCTCTATGATTGCACCTGGTTTAGTAGGTTAAAAATACAGGCTTTACTAGAATTTGATTTCTTTTTAATCTGCAGAATAATGAACACTTTAACAGAACAAATTCTTCAAAATTAAAAGATTTTCTGTAGCAACAAATGGGTATAGGGCTGTGCTGCTTTTGGCTGGGGTAATTTCCTTCACAGTGGCTGGTGTGGGAGTGTGCTTTAGATTTGTGCTGAACAGAGGGCTGATAACACAGAGATGTTTTTGTTATTGCTGAGCAGGGTTCACACAGAGCCAAGGCCTTTTCTGCTTTTGTACTGCCATGCTGGGGAGGGGGCTGGGGGTGCTCATGAGGTTGAGGGGGGACACAGACAAGACAGGTGACCCCAACTGACCAAAGGACATTTCAGCCCATCTGACGTCATGCTCTCTGCATAAAGGGGGGGTAAGGAGGAAGAGAACATTTGCAGTGATGGCTTTTGTTTTCCCAAGTCACCATTACACCTGGCGGGTCCCTCCTCTCCTGGGGATGGCTGAACACCTGTCTGTCTATGGGAAGCAGTGAATTCCTTGTCATGCTTTGCTTGTGTGCATGGCTTTTGCTTTGCCTATTAAAATGTCTTTATCTCAATCCATTCTCTTACCCTTCTGATTCTCTCCATGATCCAGCTGGTGCGGGAAAGAACTAGCAGCTGACTGGGGCTTGGCTACTGGCTGGGGTTACACCACAACAAAGGTAACTGCAGGTTCAGTTAGGGCCTTCTGGGAACACTGTCTTGGAAAATTACCTAATTTGAAGTATTATTTTCAAATAGTACTACTAAGTCTAGAAGTATTTTTGCAATATTTTAGAATAAAGTATGACTCATCAATGTAACCTTGCTAAGAGACAATCACTGAAATAAAGGTGATAAGTGCAAAACACGTGAACAGCTATTCTATTATTAATTCAGAGTTTAAGGCTATGAAATTCATCTAAATAAATTTTTGCTGATTTCTCTATCAACAAAACCATCTTTAAAAGTTTTAGATTTTAAGGTTCTCTAGAGATGTGAATTCATAATCAACTTTAACATCACCCTAGTGACAGAAAATATTTAGAATTGTAGTAGCCATGTCAGCTTCTTATAAAATTGTCTCTCCGCTTACCTCCAATATGAATTAAGTATCTGAATTAAGTTGAGGGATTCTATTAAAAATGATGATTGTTAATTCTGCATTCAACTTTTGACAATAAGTACTTAGTCTCCTGTTAAGTACTTAAAAGTTGAATAAGCCATATAATTAAAGCCTATTCTTCTTAAAAACCTCAGAGCAAGGTTTTCTTAGTTTTTAAAGTATCTTTCTCCCCATAGTTTAGATATAATATGGGAAAAAAACCTGCTGTTGCTTTTCAAAGTGTGAATTGATAAAACCTTTCTGCAACAGCAAGCAAAATTAATAAAGACCAAAAGAGGATGGGGAATTAAAGAAATTATTCAACATATTAAGAAAACAAAAGACTCTTCCAGATGATTATTTAAATTAGCTCATGGGATTAAGGGATATATACTAATTCCTACCTTACCAGTAGCAGATATTTACTTACAATTCTAAGGTAACATTTATACGAGTGGATTCAATTATGATAAGTACTTCTATCACAATACTTCAATATGAGTTCCTTTCATATAAAACATTTTAGTAAGCATGTGATCATAGACTGGACTGAAAAATAGGCTTGATGATTTTAATGAATCTTCATTTAGCAAATATAACCCATGGATCTATTTTAAATTAAAATGTATGTAAATACACCTACCTTAAAGAATTCTTTCTTTTCAACTTGTTCATTGCCATCTGCATCCAACATTTTAAAGGCAATCTGAAGTCCAGTCTGTGGTTCTGCAACAAATTGAAAAAGAATTTTATTGAAAATATCACACACTTACACTAGAACAAATACCAAATGTAAAATGAGCATTGACTCTGGTTCAGTTCTCCATTGTTATGTACACACACGGTATTTCCAGTGACCCATACACACCTCTTCCAGTACAAGCAAACTGTTTAAACACCTTTTTGCTGTCATTTCAAGGGATAATTAATGCAATGGCAAAGTAAGAAATGCCAGCAGTGCCTAAGTACAAGCCATGAATGTCCATCTGACCCCAACAAAAATACTGCATCTCTTACTGGCCAGATCTTAAGATGTTCCCAAAGGATGTCTCTATAATCCCATGTCACTTATGCAGTCTAGCTTTGCCTTGCTTATAGAAGTTCCTTTTCAGGTGAGAAGAGTGGAAAACTCCTTCTGGCTGTTTTTGACAAAAGCATGTTTTGTGTGACTCCCATCTAGACAATTTTTCTCAGGAATTCTACACAATTTTACCCTGCATTTCCTTCCCCGAGTGGATGTTTCTTTCCAATACCAAAATGTAATGAGTTCTGAATCTTGAAGTTGCTATAAAAGCATGGTGTGCTTTCAGCTCCTTCCCACAATTTCCTGATCTTCATTTGCTTACAATGTTCATTTGCTTGAACATTGGCAAGCCGCTATAAAAGCATGGTGTGCTTTCAGCTCCTTCCCACAATTTCCTGATCTTCATTTGCTTACAGGAGGTGGCCTTGAACATTGGCAAGCACACACAGGAGCAGCACGCTGCTGAAATGTAGCTACAGTTCACTGTGGTAGCAAGCCCTTCTCCCAGTAATCTCTGGAGCAGCTGAATTAATGCCACAACTCAGTCATATCAGGCATGGACTTTTTGTTTCTGGAATACATGGATGCTTCCAAGAACAATGCTGGACTCATGAGGGCAGCGAAGTAGTATTTCTACAAAACTCCAATGCCTTCAGAGTTTTGCTTCTGGAAATATATTCTTCTATATTACATTCTGTAAAGTTTTAAACCTTGCTTTTTTTTTAAGAGAAAATTTCTGCAAAGGAAACAAAGAGATATCCCATTCCTTTCAAGTCACAACAAGATGGTTAAAGAAAGTACTATTTTTACTACATTTTAGAAATAACTACATAATCAGCAGTCAACTAATATTCTGTGTGAAGCAATCTTGTGTTGCAGGGGTATTTTATAAATACCACTGCAATCTGCACAGCAGTGCTGTCCCCAGGAACTGGGTTGATTTACTACTCAAAACTGGCTTCCTTTCCATGGAAATGCCACATGCTAAATTTGTGTTACTAGTACAAAAGCAAGAAAAGGCTATCCAATAACATATTTAGAGAATAAAAGTAATTGATGCATTTAATAGCAATTCATACCATCTGTGTTCCAATTTTCAGATAAGAGAGCTGTTAGTGAAAATATAGACCTAAAGCTGCTTATACTGTTTAGAGATGACATACTTATCTGATATGATGTAACCCCAAAGGTATGTGTTTGTAAAATAAGCATAGTTCAAAGACTACCACAGTTATATGTGTATTTAATTAGAATCAGGCAAAATTCCAAAATCTGAACAGAAGTGCTTCATCCTGGTTGTGAGTGCAGGTTAGACCTAGGTGCTTCCTCTCCTAATATTCCTTCATTGACCAAGCTGTCAACTTGTGTGACTGGGTAATTGAAACAAAGCTCTAAGTAAAGGTGACAACTTCAGTTCCTGGGCTTCTTCACCAGGCAGGGCTCCATTAACCTACTGCTAGAAATGAAATTCAATACACCACTGGAGGAAAAAAGACAGTGATGACACAAGGCACACAGAAAAGAGAAAAGAAGGTCATGGGGGAAAAAAATAAAACCTTTGTCGCAAAAATACATTTTCAAGTTCAGTGTTTTTACAGACTCTGATTTTGTATGACAGGCAGCATGGTCTCATCACACTGTGGAACCAGGAGTCTGATGACTCTCCATTTCTGGGAAAAAAATAAAACCTTTGTCGCAAAAATACATTTTCAAGTTCAGTGTTTTTACAGACTCTGATTTTGTATGACAGGCAGCATGGTCTCATCAGCACTGTGGAACCAGCAGTCTGATGACTCTTTTTCCATTTCCCTATTGCTCAGTTGGCGACTTGGAAGTAATTTAAATATTGATGCCTGCTTTAAGAAATCTCACATTAATTCTCACTAGTGAGAGAGACAGGCTGTGTAACTTGGGGCTGACTGACAGAGGATACTTGTTAGGCAAAGATAGAGGCACTAACACTTGTTGACACTGGCTTTCAAGCTGGTCAGTATGATAACCCTCTGTGTAACCAAAGCAGCAACATTACCACTGCATTTTTATCCTGCATTAAAAGGTGCCTTTGTTTTTGCAGTTCAATACATTCCTATATAAATTCTGTGAAAAACAATGTTACTTGATTTTCTGGAGAAGTGGAACAACTTTCTCTGATACTGCTTCAATTTTCTAATTGTTTCAGCCAATAATTCAGCATGAATTCACTTTCAGCTGCCATAAATTTCTAAAGAAATAGAATCTTTGGCACCTATTCCTGCAACTTTAAGGTATTCTTCTGAAGTAATAATTAGGCTGTCATAGTTGTCCTTTTTTAATATAAATTCATCTTTTATGAGTTGCAATAAATATTTTAAAATCAGTATCCTACCTGGGCTAAACCCCTGTCTCTGATTTTAAAAGCCACTTGAACACATGGTATAACTCATGTTCAAGCAGTGTGTAGCACCAGACAGTCACCACTGCTGAAGCAGTGTATTTGTATGCTAAAGCTTAATGCACATCTATATCTATATATATATATAATTTAATACTGTGTACTAGCTGAAGTTGCCAAAGAGATTATTTACCTTTCATGCTGTGCAACAGGAACTAATGCAATTCTGCTAAGAAATGAGGTAAGCTGCAGAAGGGCCACTTGAATTGAGCAAGAGGTGCACAATGATGAAAGGCTGGACATATTCTCTCCACTCTGTGGAGACCAACATTACTTGTTCATACTACACCATGAGAGGGTGGATTTCCAGAGCAAGGAAAATGTGTCAATTTATTTAAGGTCCAGGCATGGAAGTGATGAGGGTCACATGAGAGTGATGCCTCCACAGTCTGTCAGGAAAGAAGTGAGTTCTTCCTTTTCTCCTTTCCCCATGCACTGATACAATAAATCATTTACGCCTGGTTTTGTCCCTTGCTGAAAATGTTGGATTTTTATAAGTCAGTCAAACAAAACTGCATGTGGACAATTGCATGGATACGCATATGTTCTGTGGACAATTCCATGGACATGCATGTGGACTACTTCACAACTGCTCCAGGGGTCTCGCCGTGTAATGCTCATTGACACATCTCAAATTTCGGTGTTTTTAAGCATCACTTACACATCAGAACAAAACAGGGGGTGGCAAGCATGGCACAGAGAAAGTACCAGACAATCCCAGGTGACTTCCATGCACAAAAACAAAAAATGCCTGTTGCTTGTAGATAAAGCAAGTCCCAAACAAAAGTTGTTTAAAAAAAAAAAGTGCCTGAGAGAAAAAGGAAGGAAGCAAAGGAGGGGGCTGAAATACATGTACAATACTTGGAGGAAATAGAGCCAAAAGGAACAGAGAATAAAGAAAAGGGAGTTTAAAGTCAGACAAAAAAGACACTGAAGAATTCTGCTGTTTATGTATTGCATCCATAGCAAATCTGAACACAATAAAAACATGCAACAACTCCTGAGACACTACAGCAGTTTTTCACACCCCTGTATGAGCTATATTGCTAATGTCTCATTGTCCAAAATGACTAAAACTACTGTCCAGAAGAAAAATTATTCATGTTCCCATCCAGTTCTTCTTCCCCTTATTATATGGCTCTGTAATCAAAGTCTCCCCCCTCCCAAAGGATTTCAGACGACTTTTCTGATCCCATAGTGCAGGAAGTACCATGATTTTTGAAGTATTGCTATGGGCCAATGATGACACTGATTTCCATTTACATTAATGCATTGTCACTGTATATACAATAGTTTTTGTTTTACTACAATGCAGAAATTTAGATGCTAAAAAATATCAGAAATAAAGTTCCTGGTAAACTGGTAGTAGCTGAGTGTTTGTGCCTATATATTTTAAGTACATAATACTTACTTGTAAGAATTGTCAGCAAAAACAGATACTCTGCATAAGATATCAACCCTGAAAAAAAAAGTTTAGAAATTACTTGTGGAAAACCCCAAAAACTTAGAGCAAAATTTGAAAGATTAAATCTTACAAATATAAAAAAATGTAGTTTGACATAGTAGTAAATACCTGTATTAAAGTAAGCCAATTTACCTTCAGAATACTAAAAACAGAAGTGAATCAATTTTTCACTTCTGTTTTTAGTATTCTGAAGGTAAAATTCCCTAACCCCAGACTCATCAATGTTCATGTCTAACCAAGAAAGTAAGGTTTATTTGGTATTAACAAAAGGCCTACACTAAATCTTTGGATTCTCACTGAAAACATTCAATGTTTATATAAAAGGCAAATAAATTAAATGTGCTTTGTCACATTTAGTACCTGGGAGGAGAACTACTCTAACATTACCCTGAAGGATCAAAGTCCTCCATCCTTTGGCAGGCTAGCAAAAGGCAGAGAATAGCTTCCCTCTAATTCTCAAGGGAACATGGCAACACGCAAAGCTGCCAAGCTGCTAGATTGTGCTGATAGTACTGCTGGGCCCTGTGCCAAGAGGAGGCTTCTTATTTTTTTTTTTACATAGGAACATGTCCTTTCTACAAGGTGAAAGTATTTTCCCCCCTTTTGAAGGAAAATTCCAGTGTTTTCTTTTGAAATACCGCCTTAAGTGAAAAGCCTGAACAAACACAAAGATGTGATAGCGTCAAAATAGAGTGTGCAAGCTAAAGATAGAGAGTGCAGAATGAGGGTGGCTAAACAACAGAATCTGAACCATCTGCCCTGCAATAATGTTTGGGGAAAGAAATGTAAAGGGCTTTTTTATAAATCACTTTTCAAAATAACTGAGCTACTTTTGACTTGTGAGCTAAACATTGTATAATGCTGAAGCTGCTTAAAATAATGAAGTTCAAACATGCCTATCTGTGCAAAGATAAACTATTTTGGTAATTTATATTTAGTTAATTGATAGATAAGGAACGCCCTTAAGCTTCAGCGATAAACAATTAACTTCTGATAAACTACTATGCAGAAGCAACAGCATTTGTATTTGACCTCAGATAGTGACTTAACACTTCTAAGTACCAGAGCTCAGAAATATTAAATTGCTAAATGCAAGACTCTGAAAATATGAGAGCAAGTCTTAGCTAAAGGGAGGTCTAATTCTGATCCTGTTGCCAGCATACTCTGGTTCCATATCTCAGCTTTCCTCTCCATCAAAACAGGACTATTTACCCTATTATCCTACATGAATTGTGTAAATCAGCACAGTACTACAATCATACAATACACTGTGGAAATAAAAAATACTTTAATCTCTAAGACTTCTGCTTACGAGTTTTAGCATTTCTGTCATTGCAAGAATGCCAATTGTTATTTTCATTGCTGTAAAACTTGGAATTCTATTCTTAGATGAAACACCTAGGTTTTCCACAAGTTCGAAATCAAATAAACAGGAAAAGAATTCCTGTCCCTTTTTTTTAGCTTATATTTCCACAAGTTCGAAATCAAATAAACAGAAACTGAATTCCTGTCCCTTTTTTTTTTTTTAGCTTATATGCCTAAAACAAGATTAAAAAAAAAAAAAAAAAGGATAGAAACAAATAGGTGGTGAAAAGAATTAAGCAAATAGTGTGAAAAGTAGCGATCAAGATTCCTAACTTTGTTTTGTGTGTGACACAGCAAAAGAACGTTTAAGGGAAGAATAGAAAGGAAGACAAGGAGGCAACTTCTCAGGTCTGTATAGAAAACACCTCCCAGTCAAGGACTGCAGTGGTGTCAGCACAAAGACCCCTGACTGAAAATACAACCACGGAGCAATGAAGGCTGGCATTACTGGGCAGGGACAAGTGGGAGTCTGCCCCTCAGCTGTCTTGAGATTTTCTGCATGGGATAGTCTAAGGAAAACCTGGAAGCTGAAGACAAATGGTTTATGCTAGGTAAAAGAGAACAAGAAGAGCCCAGTGTGGGGAAAAAAAATAAGAGATGAGACACTCGAAGCTGTGGAAAAAAACATGTTTATCAAAGCTTTTGAAAGAATATTAACATGGCAGATTATGTAAAAGTCTGAGAAAAAATAAAGTCATAATAATTGAGATACAAAATACTGAGCCCCTGGAGAGTTTTAGCTTTATAGCTAGACAGGGATCATTATATCTTATAAAATTTTGCAGAAAGAATCTGTAAAATTTTTACAAAGATGGTAAGATGTGAAGAAAAGATCAGTTTGAAGACAACACCCTGCTGACCAGCTCAAGGGAGAAGCACCTGCATTGAAGAGGACTGGAAAGTGGAGCTTTGCAAGAAATGGCAGTTTTCATCATCTTATTGAATCTAACTGAAAAGTCACTATAGTGAAATTGGAACAAGGTAAATATAATAAAAATATGTAGAAATATACTGGATTATTCTCTAAAACCTGACTCAAAGCTCTAAAGAAAATTCACGGCCTGCCTGGTATTTTCTGGAAGACTGATTGTACTAAAATGATTTATCATAAGATTTAATTTGTGGACTAATTTCCATTAAAAAACTTACTTCAATTTTATTGTCCTACATGCAGTGAGTGGCCAACTTACCTCATGCATAAAGTAAATTAAATATTTTGGTAATTTTCTTTTTTATTCTACAGTAATCATTACAAAGGTACTCAAATTAAAAGACACAGCAAACTTAAAAAACCCAAACTAAAACAACCCACTGAAAGCAAAAATTTAAAAGAGAAAAGCTTCACACACTGTTGAATGACTCAGCATACTTGCAGCCAAGAATGTGAAGTTTGCATTGGCAAAATACTGTCATTTTCTAAAGCTAAAGGAACCTTCCCTAACCCTCCCTAGAAATATCTGTCCTCAAACTTACTAACAAATGCTGACAGTATAATATTCTTATTGCTGAATAAATCATAAGTATACCTACAAAACATGACACAGATTTTAAAACTGCCCACTAGAAGGCAGAATCCCCTAGCATTACATTTCACAAACCAGACTGATGGCAGTTTTCCGTCTCCTTGACATTTAAACAACCATTTGAAGGTAGTTAAAATAACCTCAGCTAAACAGTTGGACAGGGGTAGATTCATTATTCTGGTACTTGTAAAAGTATAAATATTTTCATTTTAAAACTGTGATAATAATGCATCTTAAAGCAAAAGCATCAAAGTCACTAAACAGGCATCATGACCGAAAATTGTAAAAACTCGTGAGTCTTATGGCGACATATGGATGACTGCACTGAATGTTGTTGCATCATCTCAAACTCCTACCTGGCCTTTGAAAGACAGAGATTCAAACACACAGTGCTAGGCAAAGGCAGATCTTTGCCAGAATGCAGAAGACACCAACTCTGAGTGTATCACTGAGCCCACTTTGTGCCAAGCACTCAGCTGGGAGAGGTGCAGTAAGAGAAGGCTGCATTGATTTGCTGTTTTCAGTTTCTCTTTGTGGATTCCTGGTTTTCCCAGGCAGCATGCTCTGGGGATTTGCAGTGTTCATCACTAGAAAAAGAAAGGCTCTAAAAAAGCAGGAAAAGAGATATCCAAAAATTCAAGACTGAGAATACTTTAAGCCAAATCCTGGGAAAGCATGTGATGATGGGAAAAGGCAGGGAATGACTACAAAATCCAGCCTCTCCTAGGATAGGAAAAAAATTGTTAATTGTTCAGAGATGTTTCAGGGCTTTTGGGGTATGCTGGGGCTTTCAGGAGCAGACTGACAAGCAAGGCACCCAGCTGGAGACCCTTGCAGGTCTGTACCAGGATGCAAGAAATGAACTGCACTGGGCACAAGAGGCTGTGAGACTGAAGGGTAGGTGAAATGCTGTAGGCTGAGATCAAGGGCTGCTCCCTTGGCACAAGCTTCCAGCCATGTCTGAGGATCTGCTGTGCATGGAGAGAGCATGGCTCCTGCCTGCCAAGGAACTGCAGCTTTATTTTCCAGAAACATCCACAGGATAAGGGGTTCAGGCTGAATTGTATGATACAGCAAGTTTGTGAATAGGCGCTGTCGGTCTTTCTCATTAGTTCGGGAATTTTGGGCTTTTGTTACTGTGAAATGGTTAATTGCTCAACTATTTGGTTTTCTTGATCCTCTTGTTTGTTTTCTCTCTTCAATTAATTTATGTTAATGAGATGTTTATTTGGTGTTCTTTAATCCCCTGTTGTTACACTAACAATATCCCCACTCTTAGTTTTCTCTTTATGTAGTCCAATATAAAGTGGAAATGCTGGGTGAAAAGAAAACAAAGCACATCAACACTTGGAAGGGTCACAGAGCTCCCAAAGAGGGAGAAATAAGTTCAACTGCTCTTGGAATCAGGGATACCAACTTAATGTAACTAGGTACAAGTTTTATTTTTATTTGTAGTTTCCATGCATTTAAGTTATATAGAGGAACAGTCAGGTTATTAACAAAAAGTCTTAAGTCCATTTTGTGTTCAAGTCATCCATTTAACCCTTTCCTCTTCCAAGTAGGCTTTTCAATTTCTTTCATGTCTCCTCCTGCATCTAAGAAGGCTTTCAATTTACTCTCTCTTTACTCTCTTCTCGTATAACTGAGAGATTTGCCAAGGAGGCAGCTACTGGCTAGATGAGGATGAAATAAAATCCATAAAAACCTCTTTAAAATTACATTCAACTCATACCATACAATGAGATAAAAAGCAAGATGCATTTTTCAGTATCAGAAGTGCTCATTACCTTTATCACCAAGCTCTCTAAAAAAGGTTGGTCCTGGTTTAGCTTTGGCAACATACAGCACTGCAGCATCTACCTCCTTTAAAGACACAAACAAGAAAATATAAAGCCAGTTTTGCAAGAGAGTTAATCACTTCAGTAACAGAAAGAATGCAAGTTCTTTTGAAGCAGGAAAGGAACATTTTGCTTACCTTTTTTGTCAGTTTCTTGGCTGAGGCTTTGCCTATAATAAAAAAAAAATTGTCATCATTCAATAACAAACTGACTTTGAACTTTGATCAGGTTCTGTGGCATTTCTTCAGATTTTTATGGGAAAATGCTAAGTAATACGAAACAGAATATTTCGCAACAGACAGTTTGTTTCTAATTCCCATAATGATCATGAAAGGAAAAAGATTTAAAAATAATACGAGCAGTCTGTTCAAATGTTCTCTCAGCCTAGATTAAAGCACATATAATGTACATGACCAACTTACTAGTATGACTTTGCATATTGTGAGCTACAAATGTCACACAGATTCCGAAGCAAGACTATACAGCAAGAAACAGCTGTAGTATTTACAAAGGGATTTCCATGCACACATGATAGTCCTTGAAGTGTGGGTTGAGTATGTGAAAGCTAAGAAATACTTTAAAAAAAATTAAAATGTTGATACTTCTATTAAGCAGAAGCAAACTGAACAATTCTGCTTTCTGAAAGCATCAGACGAAAATCATGGAAACTGCTAAGTGTTTCTTAGCAGGTTCAAATGTATACACTCAAATAGGGGAGCCACTGGCAGTATAGGTTATGCTGCTGTGTAAATCACGTTTGAGGAGCTGCAAGGTATCTGTACCTATGTACATAGCTGCAATGTATCAAGAGTGGAACACCCCAGCTGGCTAGGCAGGGATCACAGAAACCCTGTGGTTAGGGACCAGCAGGAGCTGTGCATGTCTGTTCTCAGACTATCTATTCAGCACCTCTCATACAGTTCTCCAAACTCTGTTGTCCTTCGCTCTTACCTCTCTCAGCCCATCACGCTCTTCCTTCATCACCATTTCCTCTGGATTCCAGCCAGGCATTCCCTCCTATTTATTCACACTGAGTAAGCACAAACTGAGCCACTTGGATGTGCTCTGTGGACTGGTGCCCCTGCGTGCAGCAGGGTGCTTTGCTCCACACTCAGTCTCCGAGGCTAATTTGCTGCTTCACAGGCATTTTGAATCCAAAGGGTCACCAGTGCAGCACCATTATCTGGAAATGGGCATGATGGTGGCAGCCTGGTGGGCAGCTGTCAACAAACATCTACCAAGCATTTTCACAGGCCCATAATTTGGCCAGACGGAGGTGCTTTGTCAGTAAAATAGTGAATTTCCACAGCGCTGGCAAATGGCATGCCCAGCTGTAAGGGGTCTCCACTGGCAACTTTTGGCTTGGAACATCTCAACCAGCAATAGCTCATTTTTCAGCACAGGCAAACCAGTACCCTGGCCTCTGCTCCCTCAACTAGCAGTAACAGTTTTGCTGATAAATTCCTCTCCCCACATGCCCTCCCCCAAATCAGCCTAAGGCAGACACCTGGCACATAACATTTCAACACAAATGTTTAAGTTTGACAAAAGTTATAAGCAACTAAAATTAGGGTTTTAATACTGGAGTGTTGAGTGACCCCAGCAACAGGTGTTGCCAGTACCACCTGTTACTGTGGATGAATACATTTTTGTGCAATGCCTATACATACATTTACACCCACATACACACACATATATAAAGCTCAATAGGTAGATACCTTTTAAGTAAAACAGTGCATGAAATCCTCTACTTTGCCTCATTTGAGACAAAAAAAGCCAGACTAATAACATACTGGGAAAAACAGCAACAGTAGCTACATCCACTAAGGCTGAATCCTGAGCAGTGTGATGTAACACCAGTTACATCTAACACCAGTCCCTGCTGCAGAGCATTTTCATGAATGGATGTTAAGCAAATTAAGTGATTTAAATCTCGGCTTTGAAATGTCACTGCTTCCATACAGCATGTTTGTGAAACTGAACTTAAGCTGTTTTTTTGGCCCTGGCAGACCCACCTAGAGAGCAACCTTATGGAAGGGAATGAGTCAGGCTGGGAGTAGGGAATCAGTAGGTCTGCGAAAAACAGTATCTGAAAGAAAAAAGGGAAAACCACTCTGCAATGTTTTTCATTGTACATGCTCCTTGTACTTGCTGTCTGCACAAAAGCCAGCCATACACCCTTATTTGGTTAACAGCACCTCTATTCCTTTAATTCTCCTGGTGATCCCAAGAACATCACATCTAGATCAACACCTGCTACCACAGCAGTGTACTGGGGAGTACACTGGCAGCATCCAGGAGGATGATGAAGTGAGACAAGAGGAACACTGTGAGCTGGAACAGCAAAGGCATGGATAAGTGATGCAAGGTAAGGAGAAAGCACTGGGAGCTACAGCCGAGACAATAGTTGGCCAAGTTTGTGAGGCTGTACACTTGAATGAATCTGTGTTTCTCTTCTTTGTGTTGCATTCAGCACAATGACGCTGAAACTCTTCAGCTACATAGTTTTGGGGAACAACATATCCTCACTGGGAACTACCATATCATGACAAAAATTAATAAAGGGAAGGGAAGTCTGTTGCAGACGTACAGACTCTTCACCAGCCAGCACTTACAACTGCAACTGCCTAGAGCTCACAGAAATGGCTGTGGCAGCCATCAACATCTGCCCTCTTGCATCCAGCCACAGTCACCCTCCGGAGGATATTTAAGATGCTGACATGTTGACTGACATGTTTCAGAGGCAAAAAGACAGTAACAACAATGATACACAGATGCTCATGCTACCCTCGCATGGGGGCAAGGACTGGTAGAGCAAAAGAAGTCTTTGCTGAGTGGCAGAAGAGGGAGAGAAGAGTCACAATCACCCCAGGACGTGGTGAGAGGCAGCACCAGGTGGGTCAGAATTGGTCCTTGCAGCAACTGGACAAGAGGCAGCTGCTACAGTAAGACAGGGAAAAAGGCAGGAGGGAAAAGGACAGATTGAGAGAGAAACAAAGATATTTCTACTTTTCAAAGCAGTAAACAGAGCAAAGTAATAAATATGGACTCTTTTAATGGTGCTCTTTTCCCATGGGCAGATGCCAGCAAGCATGTGTACTGGAGGATAGGAATCATTTGGAAAAAACACCCTGACACTAGGGACAGTAGTGTTATCTTTCATACTGCGATTTGTGTAAGACATTAGAATACAATCTTATAACAATATAATAAATTAAACTGTAGAATGAGTTTCCTCCAGTAATTATTTTAATGTTTTCTAAGAATTACATCCAGTTATATTTTATTGGTCACCATATAAAATCATGTGTGAAGACTCAAATCTCTGTTTTCACTAGGAAACATACTTCTTGAATGCTAATTTAGCTCTTTGTGCTTATTTTCTCAACTTATTTACTTCTTAACAGTGAGAATCCCTTAAATACCAACAAGGAAAACTCTATTAATATCAAATGTACAGCCCTCTGAGGAATCAGGTCTTTTAAGACCTTGTCTAAAATAATTAGAAGAATGTTAACTCCGCTGTGCAGAAAATGCACTACAAAGACTTGAACAGTTTTCTTAACCAGCTTGTACACTGAAGAAAATAAGTGCCTCTTTCTTCCTATGAATTAAATATTGGTGCTGTCATTCCTCACACATGACTACAAATACATCAGGATCTAAGTCTCTCTCTGAGGACTACAGGCAATAGATGTAATTATTAGGGATTATTTAATCTAAAATGTAAAAGATCCACATGATTCAATTTTCTTTAGTTTTATTCTTTTACTATGATAGATTCTTACTAATTGGAAAATCAATGACATAATACCAAACTTGTTTGTAGCAGTTAGAGTCTTACTTCAATATGAAAAAAAGAAACTTGGAATTTTTTATTGTTTTGAACTTGATTAAATGAGAACAATTTTTTTTTTTTTCCTAAAGACGTCCACAACTATGCTGGAATGCTGGTTTAAAGGACAGTGAGTATTTTCAAGGTTCTCTACATATTTTACAGATGCAATCATCTAATTTTCACCACCTACAACATATCCACGAAACAATGAGATACAGAGGCACTTTTCATGGACAAAAAGGCATTTTAGCTCTTTTAGTTGTATGAATACCAAGTCTACTTATAAACACACAAGTTCTGTGCCGTTAGCCAAGAAAGTTAGTTGACAACTGTAATTAAGAAAACACTGCCAAGAGCAGCTCCATCAGTCTTCATTTGCCCCCGGCAAACCTGGGTATTTTGTCACTTACATTTCTTACAACAGAAGTGTTCTCATCATCTATCATTTTTTACACTAAGATGTAGAACAGACCTGACATCAATGTTAGGATTACTGTTAGGAAAGGGCTGAATTAAACAAGGCTGGACTTGCACACACAGTAATACCCTTTTACACCTGTAGAGCTAAGGACTGGCTTAGATCTGACAAAAGATGTTTAGATTCAAAGAATAAGCAAAATCACGAATATCAACAACTCTAACAACAATAATCAAAGGACAAAGTAAAATTAGTTACTACTATTTGCAAGAAAACATCATTTTACAAGTCTGCAAATTGCCTTATTTTTGTAATGTGGAAATTTAATTTAAATTTTAAATTTGAATCAATCTTTCTCCACAGCCTGAAATTCAAATGTGAACAGTATAAAATAGGTATCCTTTCCTAGAAGAACAAACTCCTGTCCTTTTCATCAGTAAAGTCACTAAGATGGTTTGACCTGAATCTCTTTTTAGCTCCATTTCAAACAGACAAAGTTACAAAAATAAAAGAAAAATTGACCTCCCAGCTTTTTAATTTTGGATGGCATTCATTGCTATCTTTGCTGAATATTGACCTTGCAGGTTCAAGGTCATACTGAGGTACTATAAAACCATTTGCTTTTTATGAAAAATTAGGATGAGAATAGCATTAAGTATATTCACAATTTAAACAAACTCTTGTTCTGCAAAATGATGAGTGAAACAAACCTTTTAAATGGATGGGTTTTCAGCACAGTCCTAATTTGAGGATCAGGGCATTTTAAAAACCATACCCACTGTATGCAGCTGATGCTGTGGCCTTTACAGCAGAGCTCACCCTGCAGCATTGCCTGCCACGGGAATGAGGATTTGCATTTTTTCCTTATAACTGGCTGCCAGCTTTCACACAAGCTGAACTCTGAGAATCCTGC